CTAAGACCCTAAGCTTCCCTAGCAGTTTGTTACTTCTTGAAGTCAACAATATGTATAATAGGTAAAGAAGGTGCTCGTTGCCTTATGTATGAGGTTGGGCCCATAAAAGCAAAATACTTGAATCCTGAAATGTTTGCATGCAGTACATGGAACAGAACCACCTGAATCTGGAACGAGACTTCTGAATAATGGCTGTTGCAAGCAAAACCAGACTGGAATACAACACTGTGCTAGAGCAGTACTTTTCAGCAGATCCCAAGTGTACTAAATATTTTTGCATTTATTAACTGCTGAATGAATCTGTTATAAAACCTAAATACATAAATGAGCCTGTAAAAAGAGGAGTAAGGTAAAGTCTTGTCAAAAATGCTATGAGCAGGTGAAGAGGTCCTAAGAAAAGAACTGAACTTAGGAGATATTATCGCTAAAAGACTAAAATGTAAAAAACTGCTATCTTATACTTCAGTGCATGCAGTTCAAGGTTGTAGTAGTCCATTCAAACTAATAGTGCATCAGTGACTGCCTTCATGAGTGCAGCATTTTTTTAGTCAAGATGATTTTTATCAACAGGTAGTCACAACAAATCTAAAGGCAATTCTGAGTTCTGGGAACCAAGAGGAAAATCTGGCACCTTTTTTAGGTAGTTTTCTGGAACAGCATATTTCGATATGGGGGAGGTAAACTTGTTAGTTTTCTTTACCAAACTATAGATATTTATTAATTTTTTGGTGGTGGTTATTATCAGCTGTAGATTTAGAAGTGATTTGATCTAAAGAGGGCTCTTCTTTTACTGGAAATACTCTCTGTGGTGTTAGAGATTAAGTGACATTTTCAAAGAGCTACACAGTTTTCAAATTGTAGGACATTTAAAAAATAAAATTAAAACAAAGATACATTTTGCAGCAGATTCTGATCTGCCTCTACTTGAAAAAAATACTAGTTTGCCTTCAAAGTTAAAGAACTTCTCATTTTTGAAATCAACAGGCTAATAGTCTATTTCTCTTCAGTATGGTCTCATTTCAAAATCCTGCTAAAGAAAGCAAAGGAAAAAAAATTACATGGACAAATTTAGAAGTTCACAAATGCCAAGTGGGAAGGCTTCACAACTGTTGTAAGTTGGATGTTTGCACATTAGAGTGTGAATGCTGATTTTAACCTTTCCATCGGGAATTTTGTATGCTGTGTAGTTGACAGGTGAGAACTGTATTCCCTTATTAGCTTCCCACCTCTGTTACTTCCTGGGCACAAGACTAGACAGGGGTCAGAAACAGAACATCAGTAATAGAAACCAGGAGCTGGAAGTAGGATGAATGTTGGGAAAATTGGAGCTATTGCTAAATCCTGTTTGCTTTGATACATGTAACAGCTCACTTGGAAGTTGAACTGTTCAGTGCATGTTTAGGGATTTTGCCTTACTGTGATGCTTTTCAGACGATGTGTTTTGTTCAGTTGATGCCTGTGATACTTGTGCCAGTATTTGGTGTATTAAGAGCACTTCTGGCACCTTACAGACTGTCATTGTATGTGCAATACTCCGTGGAGCAAATGTACTTTAGGGTGCTATTTTTGTTGCCATTTGCAACATCTGTAAGGAAGTACCTCTGGGGGCTGAACTGCAGACCAGAGGCTCATCCACTTGATATATATGTAGAGAGGAACACCTAGCAGCTCTGTATCTCTCCAGAAACCATCCACTCAACAATGCTTAAAATACTAGCTTTTATAAAGTTTTGGAGGGTTAAAAAATGAAAATTTAATTTTGAAGCAAGATGGTAAAGCTTGATAAATTTATCAAAATTGATAAATTTTGGCTGCATTTCATTTATAACATTTATTGTGTTCATATAGATGTCTCATGCAAGAGTGTCCCTTGGTTGTGCTTCAAAGAGAAGTTAGACATGGCTTAACTGTGTCTGTGGTATAATTTGTGGCTGTGTTGCAAAGTTTTCTTCTACGTGTTCTCCCCTCAAACCTTAAAGCACCATTGATCACCCTGATATTTCTGCCTTACCATCACAGTTTCACTCACCTGTTTAAAAATAAATAGCTTGCATTTCAGTTAGGGTATGTGTTACTTTCTAAATATGTGCAGTGTTGATTTAAAGTTTTCTAAGCTGTGAGAAATAGAGTACTTGCTCTGCTTGATTGCTTCCACCTTGCATTTATTGCTGAACATTTGTTTTCTTTATTTATGGTGAGAGTTTGCAAGGATGTGATGGGGCATGGCTGTACTTGCATGCAGACTGAGTGCTTACTCCAGCCTTTTCCAATGAATTATTTCCACTCACTGGAAACTCTCCTGTTGCTACCATAGTAGTCATTTTATTAATGGTTATTAAATCCAGGTTTGGAATTTTTTACATTTATCTGCAGCACCTGTGTTTTCTAAATCTGGCTAGAGCAGGATCCTAAGAAGAGACTTGCTTACCAATATGCAGCTTTAAATTGTTCTAACTCGCCTACAATCAAAGAAGTAAACCAGGGAGATCAAGTTTATACATTTTTCAAAGTGTGTTTGATGTTGAATTAGTCTTTTCAGCAAATGGCTTTATTGCCAAGGTCTGCTAAGTAGAGTGAAGGTTTGCAATTTTAAAATTCATTTATAAAAATATTGTTATAATACTGGATTTTTATGTTGAGACAAGTAAAAGAAAGGCTGTCTCTGGCAAATCTAGCATTCATTTTAAACATTTATTTGAAACACATTTTGTGTTTTAAACATCATGAATTACAGATAAATAATGGCCAGTTTTACTGGTTTTTAATTTAAAGATAGTTTTATGTTGTCATTTTTCATTTCCCTATTAAAAAAACTTTTGAGATAATGATGCTAGTTTCTTCAATTACCACTGTGATTGCTTTCCATGAGCAGATTGGAGGAGATACTAGAGAAATGCAGCATGTTTAGATTAAATATTTAATGCTTAAAAAACATCTGATTTGTCAATAGTGAAAAACCAGTGGTGAGCATAATTTTTATTCACGATATATTGTGTTAGCCTAGGAGATATGTTGATACATTGGTAGTGTTGGATTTATGACAAGACTGTAGGTAAAATGTTCTGTTTGCTGTTTTGTTGCCAAACTTGACAAGAAGCAAATATAAACTATCAAATATCAATGTAGGTGGGAATTTTTTCTCCCATAAAATCTAGCATGTAGTTGTTTGTGAGTCTGCTGGTCTTGGAATTATTCCTTTAACTGAGGAGTTAAGAGATCCACTCAAATGTCCTGGGTTCAGTGTAATAGGTGGGGATGGAAATGAAAAATTCGTGAAGGCTCAAGCTGCTGTGTCAGAGCTTTCCTGGCAAGGGGGAGAAGTGCTTGTGAACTTAGTACAGGAATCTTTCAGGTTGTTACGGAGGCAATGATTAAGTTGTCTTGGGAGGAACAAGTTTAGAGTCTGGGCTTAGTTAGCAGAGGTGGATGTTGTTTTAAATGAAGATCTGAGACAAGTACCTCAAAGAGCCCTGGTGAAAGACTGACGACGTTCAGGGATTGTGTGCAGCGAGCAGTTGTTAGGTGCTGTATCCAGAGACAGTGGGGCAGAGAAGCTTAGGGTATCAATTGGTTATTCCAGCATTGAAGTGAATGTTTCAGCACTTGACAAATACCTCTCTAACAGTCATTAGCTGTCAGGCTTTATCTGAGGGCCAGGGCTAGTACCTGTTCCATCAGCTGCGCCTGCCTCTTCTTCTGGGATGCTTTCTTCCAATACTTGTCCTTCCCTGCTGACTTAACAGGTTTCACGCCTGTGAGAGGCATTGCCAGCAAGAGGTACTAGTAGAAACATTTTGCAGTTTTGTAGTATGTTAGGTAGGTCTGTCACTGTATGTGTTGTAATCTGTGAAAACAATATATTTTGGGAATGATTTGCATTTTCTTGATGCTGGTGATGCACATGAATACTTAGAGATGTAAATTAAAGAGAGTATTTTGCATTTAGAGAGAAAGAAGTAGGAACACTTGCTTTTGCAGATGATTTTAAACACATACGTGTTCACCAAATGTGAAGCTGCATTCTGTGTTGAAAGATGAGCAATAATGCATTTCTTCATAAACTTTGTCTCACAGATAACCTTGCCCTTTAAGGGAAATTGATCCTTACACTGATTTTTCCATATCACAACCTTTGTTTTATTCCCAAAGTTTGCTGTAGTCAGAAATAAATAATTCCTTTAAAGTGAGACTGTGTTGAACTAGAAGTATTCGTACCACTACTCTTTTTCCACCTCTCAAATTGGCTGTGGTGTTATTAAAGAGAAATGAGATGGCTTTTAGGATTGGAGTACATGTGCTGAGAGACTTAGCCAAGAGAACAAATTTGGAGCTTGAGATTTAGGTCTCCTGGTTGTTTTTTTTTATCTTTTAATTAGTGAACAAAATTAAAGCACACTAATACTCTTCTAAACTTCTGTGACATTTACTGTAATTTCAGTTATTACAGTAACTACCTGCTTTACATGCACTTTATAAGTTATTTATAAGTTGCTTGAATAAATTTTTGCTCTTAATTACTTGTTTTGGTTATTGCTCATTAAACATTTTTGCTATTCCATGAATAACTATGAACTTAAATACATAGGAGCTCTTACTGTTTCTGATTAAGTAAAGTATATGGATCAGTGCATGATTAAAGACTCTGCTGTTAAGCGTATGGATAAGTGTTTGCATCCGCTGTTCGTGTTTGAGACTTCCTGTGCCTCCAGGTGGACAAGTAGCGAGGACACCACCTGGAATTTGTGCAGTTTAGTTCTGCATAAGCTGTGATACAATGTTTTTCACTTTCCATTGAGATGATGTATCTTTGAATTAGGTAGAACCTCAGTGAAAATCAAGACTTTCTATATGAATGTTCAAATTCCACCCAATGCCAAAAAGCATTTTTCGTTAATCAAAAAAGCTGTGTTCCGTTCTTAAATTTCCTCTTTTATTTCCTATTTTATTTTGTTTGTTTGTTTTATTTTGTTTTGTTTTAATTTTATTTCTATTTTTTTTAGTGAGTGACAGTTGCTTCAGGAACCTTGCCGAGGATCGTAGTGGGATAAACCTTAAAGATCTGGTCCAAGACCCTTCTTTGTGAGTATCTGGCTCTTATTGCTAAGCAAAGAAAAGCTTCTTCCTGAAATCCTTGTGAGTAGTTTTGTAATTATATAAAGAAGTAGTATGATGAAGTACATATAATGCTTTAGTGGCTTATGCTTGCCAAGTTGTTAGTCTTTAATACAAGCAGGTATTATTAAAACCACCTTGTTTTTAATGTAATTCTGTTCATGAAGTTGCATCCAGAGAGCACATCAGTAAAGAGTCATCAGAGGTAACAGATTGTGCATGCTGGTATTTCTATAGAGGACTTCTGTGCACATTGTTGCCCCTCCTTTTTTAAGGAGGAAGTGCAAATAAGTTAGAATATTACTGGATAATTATTGTCAGTTACCTTAACATCTAGAATCTGTTTTCTTTCTATCTGATTTCATGCAGCTGATATTTGTTTCTTCCTCTGCTACCTGTTTCAATTTAAGTGTGTCGGCACATGGTCTAAATTTTTGCTTCACCACAAGACAACTGGTCTTTATCTCAGTATTGCATCTTTCCCTAAAATAAAATTCAATCTCATGACCTCTGAGCCAGACTTGAAATGTTATCAGACCTTCTTTGTCGTTCAGTTTTTTGTTAGTGGTTTTTTGTTTTGGTTTTTTTTTTGTTCCTGGGGTTATTTTTTCTCATCTGTTAACTTTAGTACTAGCTGAAAATGTTCTTGCTAGCATGTGAGTGTACCACTTGTTATGAGGGAAGGAAAAAGGAGAAAAAAATTCACATCTTTTTAACATGAATGACAGTGCATTCCACAGTGAGCTCTAACGTGATGGTCCTTGATACTGAAAGAGCAAATTTTTCAGTATTGATTGAGGAGTGAAAAACAAGGTGTATTTGGCATCTTATTTCAGTTACAGGGATTTATAGTAATTGAGTAGATGCAGAATTTATTTTGTCATGTTGCTACAGGTAAATGACAGGTATATGCATATATACATGCATTCTTGGGCAATTTTGACATAATCTATGTAATTGATTTATACATGTGAAATTATAGAGGTACAAGGGGCAAGTATAATTGTTGCTTGATATGTACAGTGTGAATGCAATAGATAAACTTTTAATAATTACTGTTTAAGTGTTGAAGTCAAGGCTGTCTTATAGGTCTTAATCTTCCAAATTTTTCTGTTGAGTGGTATTTTTTTGAGTATTTTTGGTTGGTTGGTTTGCTTTGTTGATTCTTTTTTGTTTGTTTGCTTTAGAATTGTATGTGGGTTTTGGAGCTGCAGGTAGGCTTACATGCTACACATAGTTTTGGGCTTGCACCTCAAGAGTTTACTTTCAGAGGGTTGAATTGCCTTTGAGGTAGAATGATCATTTTCTGTATATTTTTACCAGAAGTAATGGAATATTTTAATTTTCTTCTTTAATTGTAACACACATGAAGAATATTGTAATAAATTGTTGCAACCTTCAAAGGAAATTAAACAGATTTCTGTTTCTTATAGCATAAGAAACATAAGTGACTGCAACATAGCCATTTTAGTCACTTTGAAAGACTGAGTAAAGTCTCAGTACATGTTAGATTTCAAGGACTGTTTATGACACTTTGCTGTGTGACAGATTACAGTGCAAGAGAAGTGTCCTTCCTGCTGAATGATAGCAATGTACAGACTTGGGTCTGTCTTTCCAAATCTACATTCTTGCTGTTTTGTGACTGAGCACCTATTAAGAGTTCTTGAAAAATATGTAGCAGTGTGACTGAATCTCCAAAATGAAGAAACCATCTAAGGCAGTATTGTTCAACCCAGCCTTTTGTAGGTGACTCCTAAGGTTCCATGGGATCTGAATTCCTTGTTATGCAAAGGACAGCATGAGAGTGCCAGACAAAGAGATGTTTTAATCTTTTTTTGAAATAAAGAATAAAGTTTAATTAAAGTCTTATGCCTATTTGGCTATGATTGATGCCTGTAATAATACCTGGAATCGTAAAATAGCATTTGATTAATCCTCTTACCAGTTTAATATTTACGCTTTAGGATTTCTTTAGTGCTCATTTGTGCTGACTGTAGATGTATTGCCTCTTTTTCTTTGTAATCTCAGATGCAAACATTAGATTTACATAAAAAATTCTCATGCTTTCTCTGCAAATGGCTGTCCCTCTTTGTTTGCTATTCTTGGCTCTGCAACAGACAACTTCTCTTTTGTTATTGCAGAAGGCCTTTTTTTTTGGACAGCTGTAAGTGTGTCTTTACACTGAAATAAAACTATAAAATAGACAGCATTGTCAGTTTTTATCATTAATGTTTGGTTTATATCAAGTGTGCCTAATTGTCAGAGTAGTCTTTTTTTCCCCAGTTGATTTCCTAGCTGGAGCAGGACTGCAAACTTAAACTGCTTTCAGTTCTCTCAGCAATGCTAATAAAAGCTCTGCTGCTCAAATCAGTTGTTTGATCACCTATACTTGTATGTGATTAACTCACAATTTACTGTGTGTCAGTAAAAATGAAAATTCTGCTAAAGGAAAAAACCCCAAAACACCAAGCATATCAGATAAACCTGAAGCAAGGAGTTATAGATTATGGAAGAAGGAAGCATGCAACAACTTTAAATTTCATGTAGTGGTTAATTAGAGAAAAATTTAATTTCTGCAAAAAGTTGATCATAGTTCAACTATAAAGGTGGTTTGAGAGTTAAGTGCTGTTTTTTATTCATTGCAGATAATCACAGAAAAGTTTGGCTTGGAAAGGTCCTTTAAAGGTCACCTCCTGCAATGAGCAGGGATGTCTTCAACTAGATGGGGTTCCCTGGAGTTCAAGGATGTCTGCTATATACAGTGCCCTGTTTTGGACACAAAACTTAGAGATCCAGAGGTGTGTAGATGAAAATAAAGAGGAGAAGATAAAAAATGCAGTGCATGGCAGATTAATTATTTGAGGAAACAGCGTCAAGAGAGGAAGTATGAGTGTTCTACATTATATAAAAGATTATTAAAGGGTTTGTTCTGTTTGCCTGATGAGCAAGAATTAGTTCAATTTATAGTAGACAGCATTGATTGGATAGTTTGAAAAAATTCTAAATGTCATTTGGTAAAGAAACTGGAGTCTATATCTAAGAATGTCAAAGAGAGTTCTGCAGATTATACTCGTCTACATATTTGGTCCTGTCTAAGTGTAGAGAGCTGGAACAGCAAAGCTTTTTTTTTCCTCCCTTTTTTCTTTTTTCTTTTCTTCTATGAAAATGTATGCATTTTGGCTTGTCTTCTGTGTAATTAATATGACCAAAAACCAGATGGGACTTATTTTGATTCCTATAAAGGTAACTTAATGTGGCCGTGAATTTTCAAATCCCATGATTTGGTTTAGATTATGCCCTGCCTACTATTCCAATAACTCATAAAAGATACTTAAAATGTTCCATTCTACAGAGATGACTCTCCATGAGAAGACTATAGGTATTTTTCCATTCATTGTCCTAAACAATGAATAGGCAGAGCAGAGCTGCAGAGAGCAGGTGCAATTGGAGGAACGAGGCTGCTGATACTTAAATGGTGGTTCAGATTTTATTCAGCTGAAGTAAAAGGCAGTGAAACAGCTTAAGATGCTAGCAAATTTCTGCTTTTGTGGGGAGACCTTTGAGGCTCTCTAGCAAGGCAAAAGGCTGGTGCTCCAGGAAAGTTAAACATATTGATCATTTCATTTGACCCCTTGCTCATGAGCAGACTGAATGGTCTGTACTCCTCTGTCTTCCTGTCCTTTTCCACCCTCAATAGCCAGTCTGTGCTCAGGAGAGAAATGGGTTAGATACAATTCAATATGTATATGTCTTCACCTGAAACTTCTCGTCAGATTTTTGCTACTTTTGTTCTTTTCTCACTAGAAGTTACTTAAATACTCCTGAAGACTGAACCATGAGATCATTAGAATGTTAGGTATACATCCACCTGCTTCAAGCAGAAGTTCTACGTATAAACATTCCCAAGTTTTAGTTCACGACATCACTTTATAAGATGTTCCTTTCAGCTCTAGCCTACATATAGACTTCATAAAATACTTGTCTAAACAGAAAAGAGGATGCTTTTAATCTTTCTGTGCAATTCGGTAGCTGCAGATAATCACTAATGCATTTGTTTTGGAAACATCTTCAGAGCTGCTTTGAGATGAACAGTATCCAAGAGATTCTGAATAACTTCTTTCTAGGCAAAATCACATCAAATCTAAACTGTGTTTCATGTCTCCTTCACACTGATTATGAGAGCAGATAAATCTAAAATGTAAGAACAGGTAACTTTTGACAGGAAATTAGAACTTGTTTTAATAAGTATATACTACAGAGAGGAAAACATTGTGGGAAGAAAATGTTATTTACTGTCCATGTAATTGCATTAGAAAGATGACTAAAACTGTAATAGGCCTATGTTAGAAACTTGTGGATTAAGTCTGAGTTCCATTTGTCCATGACAGGAGATGGAAATCTCATAGAAGTCATCTTTATCCTTTATTACAGCCTTAGAAGAAGGAACTAGGTAATTCTTCTGGGAAGTATTTGTGAGATCCTTAGAATTTGTAATAATAAAGACTGAAGATGATAATGGAATTATTGAGGAACTCTATTTTTTTAAAATCTTAGTGTACCTAAGGTACACTATAGGATGAAACAAATACCTGGATGGATGAGGGAGCAGCAGTGGATATTTTCTGCTTTGAGTTCAGCAAAGCTTTTGGCTGATGCTGCCTCTCACAGCATCCTCATAGGCAAACTCAGGAAGTGTGGGCTGGATGAGTGGATATTGAGATGGATTGAGAACTAGCTGAACAGCAGGTTCCAAGAGGGTTACAGTCAGGGGCACAGGGTTTAAGTGAAGGCCATCACTGGTGGCGTCTTCTAAAGGTTCAGTGTTGGGCCCAGAATTCTTTATCTTAATTCATTGATGACTTGGATGAAGGGGAGATGCCTCCTCAGCAAGTTCACTGGGGACACAAAGCTGGGAGGAGTGACTGACACCCCAGAGGGCTGTGCAGCCCCGCAGAAGGACCTCAGCA